GTACACATTACCAATGTGTGAGCGAAAAATATTTTGCTACTTGGCTCCTTTCCAACATGGATTGAAATATCTGTATATCTGCCACTTTCAAACAGTTTCTCATAGTCGGCTGAAAGACCCGAGGATAAATCAACAAAATCGCTCATTTCGTACAAAGTTGAGACCGTGATAAGACTTTACTCACCGAGCGATAATGATATCAATTTCTGTATAACCTACCTGGTCAGGGATCGGTAGTACGTTACCGACTGCTGTTATTGTTTCCACTATCTATTGCTAATAATATATCGACACATTCCAATTACACACATTATACTAGATTGTAGATTAAAGCAAAGACAACATAATTAATAATGTAAGATACGTACGTATCTAACACAAATTTAACAGTTACTTCGCACCTTTTAAAATACAACTTAATTGTAAAAATGTGTATATTATAAAAATAACCCTTTAAACTCTTCAGGAGAAAATTTTTAACAATAAACCTCCATGCATTTGAAAGTATTGCCTGAAATACTCAATAAACAATGGCGTATATGAATACATGGTCAAAATTTGGTACTCAGTCTCTAGTCGCTAGATATTTGTACGATAAACGTAGTAGTATACGATTAAGACTTTCCGGCTGTCAACAGGTTTGTTTTTTATATACGGAAATTTCGTTAGTACAGTTTATATCCCGAGACTTTTTGGGGATATCGATATATCTGAAGCGGGGATTTATTAATTGAGCAACACAAGCAATTTTATTGGTAATACATTCTGTGTTATGCGCACAACAAGATCAGTAAGTATTATTTTGAGTTTACATATAACGATCTGCTCGATTTTTCGCGAAATCAATCTCCGTCACGAAAATCACTAAATCGACAATCAAGAATCCAATGCTTATGAAATTAAGAGATACCTGTTATCTTATTGTATAATAATAATACTACTAATACATATCAATGCAACATTTACTATAATCTAAGCTATGTCATAAAAGCGCAAAGTCGTTGGAGTTTGAATAGTGGACAAGTCACTCACACTCATGGTGTGCTGCAGTAAACATTTATCGGGTTCACCAACTTATCTATTTCAGGCTGAAGTATCTGCAGTTGACTAGCAATCTTATTGATGTATGAATGAAGACGCAGCCAGCGATGTACAAATTTCTTCAATGAATCCAGACTTTCTGGAGGCTTTAAAGGTATTTGAAAAATCTCTAGCATGCGTACTCGATAATATACATAATGTGGCCTGTCTAAGACTGCAATTCTCACCTCAAGACAATGAATAATTGGTATCGCCGACAGTTTTTGCAGAATCTCTTTACCATGAGCGGACTTATATAAGGTCTCTTAACATCGATATTAACATAGTTGAAAGTAGTTGAAAGTATTGCCATCTCCTCTCAAGAGATATCCTTCCGTAGCTGAAGCCTTGAAAAAGACGTGAGACAACTTCTGCAATGTAGGTTCCCTCATTGTAGTTTATGACGTGATAATGATTCTGCCCAGATATGGCGCCTATAATTAATAATGTAATAAAAGATTGTTGGTTAAATACAAATTTATCTACAAAAAAAAAGTTTCAAAACTTGACTTACAGATTTTCTAACAGAACATGTGCTGCATGGACCTGCAGTCTCACATCAACAGGTTCTTTATCAACAGCTGATGGGATGGAGATTGGTTTGATTATAGAAATCCCATCATACTTTGTTGCATATTCACAGCTGTTAATACCCAACACATTTTATCTACTGCATTGGGAAAGCTGATCGATGTGTATTCGTCTGGCGGAAGGCTGAAGCAACCAACCGACCCGTTCATCTCCATCAAATGCTGTCAGCCCCAGTCGTGTCTAAAATAGCTGATGTAATAGGACGTATTGGGTTGACTGCATTCACTTGTTGACCTAAATTAAAAGCGTCCCACGAAAGGTCACCAGTGCAGAACGTTCAGGCTCCTCGACATCTAAAATAATCCTGCCCTATAAAATAAAAAGTATTTATTTATAAATAATGATGCTACACAAAATGATAACCGATTTTTAATATTATTAATATCGTTATTACTTACCAAATCGTTTATCATATTGTTTATATTGCTCAGGATCTCGCCGACACTGTCCTGAGACTCTGCTATCACCTAAAATACATTAGTAGTAATAATAAATGAGTTAGTTCATATAGTAAACGAAGACAATGTTTCTGTGTTAAATATCAATACTCACTCTGTCGTAAATGGCTTTAGCATTGTTAAAAATTTCGACTATTCTCTCCTAAAATATAAAAGGATAAAGATTGTTAAAAAAAAAAGGCACCCGATGAAGAATTAATAAATTTTTCATATTCAATAAATAAGTGTCTCTCTCTCATTAACGTGACTTTAACATCGAGAGTACCATCACGAATAATAAGAAGCATGCATGGATCCAGACCAACAATAAATGTTTATCACCGTTCCTGATTTATCATTCAAATACAAATAACATAAGACTTACGAAAAACATGTTTCCGACTAATTGTAGTTGTTCACCAGGCCGTTTACACAGATCGCCATCTGCTGCCAATATAGTTTTTCCTTGCCTTCGTTGCACTTTCGCCTTCAGTACTTCCCAAGAGTTTCTGCCAAATAACCCATGACTCAATTGTGGGTTACTATTATAGCCTTGTTATACTTCTCTAGAAGTAGTTTTATGCTCGCATCAATCTCAGGAAGTGAATCTGCGATCTTTGTTTCAACCTAAAATATATTCCCGTTAAATAGAAGTAAAAACTGACCACAAATAAGCAAAGAATAAAGACCTTTCTCCAGTTTGATTCCATTATTGACCACTCTTCATTGGTAAACAATTTCTTAATTGGATGATTAATGTTATCCTCTGCTAAGAATAAAATTCGATACCAGTACCAGTCTCTCTCAATAACGAATCAGATAAGTAGGTCACGTGGTAAATCTTCCTCCGCAGTCATTTAGGATAATGGTATAAAAGGCAAGTGATACAAGAGTACATATAAGGGCAATTCATTATTTAATAACATGTTTGTTTATTTTATTACTCGTTTTATTCAATCTAACTTCGATCCAAAACGTCTTGCCTAAGATTTTCCACTCTGCTTAATTCAAAATGGCCGCACTATCGATGTCTTGATTTCCGAGAAAGATACGATCGAGCCACACTGTCATAGCTTCTTCAAGTTGAGGCCACTTTGGGGGACGCTTCTTCTTAAATTGCGCTGATGAATCATTTTCTTTAATAGATAACCACTTATCTTTTTCACGAAGTATGTCACCAATCGTACTGCTTCCGCAAGCAAATATTTCCGTAATTCGATTATGAGAACAATAAGGATTTCTTGACAAATTTCCTTTTTCTGTAAGCAGTGAGTGAAACTCTGGATTTTTTTTTCATTCAGTTTATTTATTGATTGGAAAGAACGTTTTTTACGTGCCATGGTAATAGAAGAAAGTAAAAGTAGAAGTTTTATAATAGTATGACGAATTTCGTCCAGCAAAATTTCGACCGGAGCCGGTATAGACAATATAACCAATGATGGCCGGTATATAAATATAAAGGCGAAATTCATATGTGAAAATCCGTTCCTGAAAATTTGAGCCGTTATAGCAAAAACCGGTATATCCGGGGGACGGTATGAAGAGGTTTCACTGTCAGCGATATCCGCCGTTACATATTTTGAGTATTAGTACCAGCGCCACTAGCTAATTTAGAATCTATTGGTTCTTGGAAAATTTCTATGCTGATATCTTTTGTTTCAATTTTTGCTGCCCTTATCCCATCGTCAAATTTGGATGTTGTGAATGTTGTTTAGTTTTGTTCATATTATTTTCCACTTAAAAATTGAAATTTTGCTTTCTTTTATCGTTGCTATATTAATTATTTAACCGGATATTAATAAACGGCCCGCTCAAGTTGTAAAAACAGCTCAATTAGCTGTAAAAACGACTCATTTAAGCTGTATAAATTATCCGTCGATTTAGTACTCTTAATTGAGGAACGAGAGTTATTAATTATTTATTAAAACAAATATTGTTTAATTAGTTTGAGACAAGTGACAGAATTTGACTAGTCAAAATACCAAATCGAAGATGGCCCCGTTTAATATTAAATAGAATTTATTCCCCTTCGATTCCGCGATAAAAATAATTGTTGCTATTATTTTATTGTGGGTACCCTTATTTGGAATCACGAGTGATTTGACTCGGATAGGGAGTTGAGAAGCGCGCATTTAATTTAATTATATAATAGGTCACTTGTAGATTAGAATTAATAACTACCGTAATAAGGGCGGTAGCATGAAGCTAATCTGGTAATAACCCCGGTCGGAAGAACACCCCTACGCGAAAGATTAATCACTCTTCCAAACTCCAGACCATCCGACCGTAACAATTGGAGGATCCATTAAAAAAGAAAAAGAAATAGAAATTAATTAAACAAAGTGAATGAGCGCAGAAGACCCGAGACAAGAAATACATCCCAACAACTCCTAATCAAAAGACGCAAATTATCACCGACACGTCCATTTCCTTCTCAGAACCCAACATCTGAACAGTTAGTACCATGCCACGACGACAGTTGTCTTATTTGCGATCCGCCTGAATATAATCAAGAAATTTTTTACCAGAAGTTCCGCCACGAAGTCACAAAATTCGATCCAAACATCACCATATCCGACTTTAACCAAAGCGAATATCTTGGGTTTTATAACGACAGGCCAAATCGCAGTACAGATAATTCCCGCAGATTTCAGAACTCTCGCCAAATCAATAGTACATCAGCACTTCGACGGCACGAGTGGGCAAATTGCCGAATTAACAGAGGAACAAAAAGATAGATACGAAACTGAAGTTGAAACAGTACTTGAATTTCAACAACAGCAAAATCAACCGTCGCCATTCCATTGTTTATTTCCAGCCACACCCGCGTATCAGACGCCGATTCAGACTCAGACGCGGATTCCAAAAGCTCAGAAGAACAGAATCAACCAATAAACGTGTCAATGGCGAAAAACGCAGACTATCCAGTATTCAATGGAACTAGACGCATGGTATTTGTATTAAATTTTTTTAAATAAATAGAATTTTCTTTAGCTGGCCAGATACTTTTCTGAAGGTTGTGTAAGTAGTGTAAACTGCTCTTATACTTATAGTAAGATCATGAATATTAGGAAATGGGGAATTATTATTTCATTAAATTAATGACTGTGGGTCATTTAATGATGAAATGTAATCTCTGTATAAATTTAGTTGAAACAATTGATGCACTCTACTAGTGCTAGTACTATAACTAGTAGAGACATAATAATATTGCCCAAATAACAAATATATTAAAAGGCTCTATTATTATTACTATTACTATATACTATAGGGAAAACAACAGTAGATTGCATGGATCATATTATTTGTTATTAAGATTGTGAAAAGACCACATACAGCTGGGTTAAACAATGCTCAACATTATGACAAAAGAAAAGGCTTTCAACACTTAGTATTAGTATTAGATTTTAATTCTGGGTTCTTTCGGCAGTAACCATGCAGCAATATCTGTTTTTGAACATGCCCTTGATGCATTAGATAAAGGAGAGGAGAAAAAAAAAAGCCATTCATATAGTATTCAAAAGTTCCAGATAGACTTACTATGGTTTTATGGAATATTTAAGGCTCCTCTCACTTCTGTTGCAGAAGATTTATTGCGAACCTTGAATGAGAACCTGATTGAAAGGCTAATTTTAATTAGCTCTTATCGAGACAATTATGATGTCATAATAGCCAAAGACAGAGAAACCCCTCTAGTAAATTTCCCCAAACTGAGACAGAGCCTACTCTAACTAGAAAGGATAAAAACACGCGGATATGTTTCTCATAGGTTGACAAATAAAAAAGCGGCCACAAATACTACTGAGAAAATGTTATCCCTGATTATAAAACTAATTGTCATGTAAAAGAACCCAACATTTATCGCGCTAAACTAGTATATATATAAAGACTGATATGAGATATGCTTAAGCTTTATTAAATTATTCTAACAGCTTGTTTTACAAGCCTAGCCTGCTATAATTATTAAGTGATCGTAATATGCATTCTATTCAAAGACGGGTTGCAAAAAGTTACTGATAATTGGTTAGTTCACAATTACTATTACCATACGGTTCATTGATATATATACTGTTTATCTTTCCAATTTTTTTCTTTTATTTTTGCTTTCATTCATTACATAATCTTAACACAAAACCTGCATTTTTGTATACTAACGCTTCAGTTTCTTTCACAAATTGACCCTTGTTACTTTTCGCCATGATTTTATCCGGAATAAAGATTAATCTGGTAAACTTTGGTATTAATGGAATCGCTATTACATATACTGTGACAACCAACGAAAACCTGCATTGATAATAAACGTTAGCATTCGATTCAAAATAAGAAATAGCATATAATGTGCCATTACTGTAGATAACGTAGGTCTCACCTTCCCCATAGCCTTGTCTCATGACCACTGAGCACATAAACACCTCAATCGGACGAATATCTTTTAAGGGCACTTTACCCTAAACATCGAATTAAAATTAAATAATATTAAAGATATCATAACATCAGATTCAATACGTCTCTCAACTCAACATAATGTCTTACCTGTCCAGTAGTATGATATAAGCCTAAGGCCTGCCTTAACTCTTCCTCGGATACAGCCCCAGGTGCATCAATTTTGTTACCCAAAATCAAAAATGGAACGTCCGAAAGCTGTTCAATGGAAAGTAGTGCATCCAATTCGGTTTTAGCCTCTATAAAACGGTCGTGATCTTGAGTATCCACCATAAAAACGATCCCTGATACTTCAGGGAAGTAATCTTTCCAGAGACGACGAGCTAAATGGTTATAATGTAAAGAGTCAGGGCAAAGAGTGATTTAAAGGCTCGACATCTGACGATTTGAATCAATCGATTCGTCTCCAGCTCTCTGGATTACCTTGTTGATGTCCACCGAGATCGTAAGTTGTAAAACGTACGTTTCCTATAGAGAGTTCTTCCGATGCTGTAATGGAGAAAGGCGATCGATAAGTCATATGAAAATCCCTTTTTTTCAACTAATCTCGCTTGTCGGTTAAGACATATGACGACATGGTGCGACGTCTATTTGATGGTTTTCATTTTCTCTCCTACCCATGAATTCAATATTACACATACTCTTACCAAATCACGCGTAACTATAATAAATTGACAATTTACTCACTAGGATGTAGTGTTGGTTGCAAAGTAGCCAGACGGTCGTTCTTTAACATGTGCAACAAAGTCGTCTTTCCTGCATTGTCTAATCCTAAAAATAGGATCTTTGCATTCTTGTTCACAAGACCTATGGTTGTGCATCACAAGAATTCAATACACTTGTCAATAATTCAATGTAGATTACTCGTGCGTTCGACTATGTTTTCCCGCTTGCTAACATACCTAAAGAGGCCAAGACATCAAAGAACCAGTTGATAAGGAACATTCTAAATAATCAATGGTTTATTATCTGACTTTATTTATTTATCGTTCGTTTGGTTGCGTAAAAAGATCTAGAGATGTGATTCCGCTTGAGTTTAGGTTTTGTTGTTCAGAAAGTGCAAATACTTGGAATTCAATGATTCGCAGGTGTCGCACGCATGTCAGTTGGGAGTGCATATGATTGACATATGGTAAGCCTTATTTGTGTTACTTGAGCGATGATACAAGGGTCAAACGCTAGCGAATTCCAGGGGTATTACTAATATTTCGATTTTGGATAATAAGATTCTTGGCTCCATATTGTTCGATTGGCGTCAATAACTTTAAGCAACACAATTTTCCAATTCCAATGTAGAAATATCCTTTTTTCAAGAATATGTTCATTTCAGCCTGGCAACAATGTAAATCCGGGGCCTACCTGAAATGTAGTATCAAGGGTATCTTTGAAGAGTCGCCATGTTAATTAATGAAGGTAGTGATATCTAACACAACTAGAAAGGCTCGATCTTTTGGGACCGTGGCTGTCAACCCCTAATTAACAATCGTGAAGCAATAAGGACGAACGAAATCAAGAGAATGATTTATTATAAACATAGGAAATTAAGGACATTGTGGAACCGTGGACGATTGCCATGTCTCATTTCCATGCTTTGCGTTTTATAATAAAAGTTTCAGAGGTTTTTGGCCAAAGGCGGAATATTAACTGTCGGAGAATGCTAGCAGCTTTGAATCCATCACGTGTCACAACGTTTGAGTTAAAAACTTGGTTGAATTGGCAATAATAATAATAATAACAGACGCTTAGACTTTGAATCTCACCCCCCAAAAATACTTATTCGTCATTTGTAAAATTATTGGACGGGGGCTCCCACATAATAAAATATGTTAATAAAAAGTTTCCAAGATAAAATAAGAATAGTGGTCAAGCCTTCGTATAGAATTAATTTTGCAAATACAGGTGGCTCTTAATCTATGCAATATTAGGGCAAAGTCTGTATTATTATAATTGTGAAAACAATTTGTCGAGTCGATTAGCTATCGATCGGATAGCGAAGACAATACGAAGACAATATCTAAGAAGTAATACTTTGCTGCTGTCATGCCAGTATATTCAGGAGAGTAATGATATACGATACAACTGAGAATAATAAGTAATTCTCTCTCAGTTAGTGTCCGTGATGTCTATCAGCTCACGCGATGTTTCTAGTTACCTCGATTATCTATAGGGAGGGACTCAGTCGATCTTTAATACTTATCTATTGAGCTTGCCTTTACCTTACTCGCGCGCAATTGTGAAATTAAAACAACTGGCAGTAGCAATAAAATGGAGAAAACTTGATCTCATAGATTACGTTCTGCCAATTCATATGTGTGTGTTTATTATCAACTATTGAACTTAACGAGTGCAATGCGATTAATTATGCGCGTTCAGTGTTGCGTATTTTGTAATGTATTCATTATATAAATAAAAAACTATACTATAATTAATCGTCTACAGTTTTCGAAACTGCCCCTTCGGCCACTTGGGTATATATCGGTAAAATTGTACTGATTCAGAGAGTGAAGCCGAAAATTACGGAAACGTTTCCAATTGATAATCGCCCTTTCTTAATTAATAAGGGTCTGTATGTTGTTTAATATAACTCCTCATTGGCAAGTTGCTAGCGTCAGGAATATATCTGAGAAACCGCTCCGAAAGCGTGACTCAAAGCTAGCGCTATAACGATAAAACGCTTTATTTATTTTATCTTAACCACAGGTTATCTACCAGAGTATCGAATGCCGCATATATTCCAGTAATAGGTAACACGTAAGTGGCCGCCTTAGACGTTAGATTTAAGAGTAAGGGGAAAAAAGGCGCATACGATATTCAAAATATAAGTTGGTACTAAACAAGGGTTAAACCGCCATAATATTTCCCAAGACTGTATATTAATTTTTTTTTTTTACGAATTACCCGGAATTCGGAACAAAAATCGCGTCCTGTAAATTTACGAGCTTGTTTGCAGCTTGACAGACCTTAGGTACTTTGAAAATTCGAAAGGCTTGGATTCAAATAAATAACTCGGCGTTAAACCAAAACAATATTAAAATCCAAGAAAATGGTACCGATGCCCGTACTGGAGGGGATAGCTACAATACACATTTACTTCAATATATCATAGAAACAATTTATATAGACCAGGACTTTGGAAAGTAAATTGCTAGCATAAGATGTTAACATTCTGAATTATTAGGGGAAGAGAAATTCGATGCTCCAACGGGACAACAATCCAAGTATATGCCAACAAAGTATATGCCAAGATCGCTTAGTTTAGCTCAAATTCAGTCACCAGATGACGCAAAGCTATAAAAAACTGCATATATTGACGTGAAACACATGGCCGATAACGAGTCGAGGGACGGGATCAAGCGTCCGTGTCGTAAATGGTGATGGTTTCCGGTGTTTCTTCAAGTTATGATCTGGCCAGTCAACAAGTATAATTAAGAGCAACTTGGCAAGACGGATGCCAAAAAATCTTTATGCAGTCTTATTGTACTGTTGGTTACGGTTAGTGTAATCATGCCTTTTTCTTTTAAATCAGGGGCTGTTGAGGTAGACTGTATAATCGAATTTGTCTTTAATAAAGTGGCTTATAACAGTAAATTTATTAGTTGTTTAATGCTCACGCTCTGCGGCATGTTTCATTTAACATTAAATACGGTTATGCTATTACCATAAGAAGTGAAGTTCATGATGAAGCAAAACAAAAAAAGTTGAATGAAATGTTATTCTGATGTTCAAAGAATGCTATCTATAGTGTCCTAAACCAACTTCAACGTGATTACTACTTTCGTTTAGAAGAAAATAAGCGTTTTGAATGAGTGCGAAAGTTAAAAAGAAATACGATAGTTCTAAGGATTGTGGACAAAAAAACCTGCTTATCACTTTTTTGAATAGTTGCTAGGAAATCGACTTGATTGCGTTAATGTTTATAACATTATTAAAGTTATTTGATTCAATTCATTATAGTATGAAAAGCATACTTAGTATATGTCCTTTTATTTAATCCTATACAAACTAACAGTGAACTTATTCTGCAAAAATGGTCGCGCTTTTAAACTTCGATCCGAGTCTTCCAATTCCTATACATTATGCGATTCCATCTAGCTGCTCTCCGTCCATTTCAATCGGCACTCCAACTGGCATCCACTTTCTCAATCTGTCCAGTCGCTCTCCGCTTACACAACAGAACCACGTTCTACGTCTAGGTAGATATAAATTGATATCATGATTCTCATCCACAAATCGATCGTTCTCGTTCAAATTTTCTCGCGGCCATTCACCAGGCATGACAAATATGCTGCCTTGAGCGTTGGTTTCGGCGAATGTGGCCGTTATTCCGTCGCCACATCCGGAAATATCGAGAACCTCTAGATTGGGAAGTGCTCGGACTAAACGGATTATGCTGTGTATGGTAATGCGTTGGTTGTTTTGGAGGTATAGTCGAGAAAGACGAGCAAACTTTTTTAATGGTTGTTCAGCGGAAGTCTGGGATGACGATGCCATCATCAACGATGTTGTTGCTACTGCCATCATGCTTTCCACAGCTGCATTCGTCAAATTATAGCAATCGGAAAAGTCCAGATTGATTAAAGTATAGGCGCATTTCGAATTGGTAATGTGCAATACCGCTTCGTCTGTGAGATGCTGACATTTGTTTAAACTCAAAGTCTCCAGTTCAGTCATGGATACCAAAAGGTAAGATAACATTTCGTCATTTAAAGCCGGACAATCTATGATTTTCAATGATTTAAGCTGTGGGCATGATCCTGCTAAGGTAGGCAATGCGTAATGGGGAATGTAGCGCGCATCATATATATGCAGACGAGACAATGTCTGCGGGAGTATCTCAAATATACGAATTATGTCTTTGAAACTGCCTGATATTTTAGTTGTCGGACAGGAAAACTCAAACGTCTCCAGCTGTATGACTCTGTTATCTGGATTACGACTGGGAATAAATAGCTCTTCTGCTAGTCGAACGAGACCTTCTCTAGTCACCCGACGACATCCAGTAACTCTCAATTCCACCAACTCACATCGTCTATTCTTACTTGTGTTGTCCATATCATTATTACTTGTTCCGCCCGCTTTACTCAACATCACATCATCCAAACATTTTTCATTTTCTTCTCCTTTCTGCTGCCGCAACGTTCTCCCATTTGCTAAATGTCTAATAGACACAGCATTATTTACTTTACCCGATATCCCACCATCCAAACGTTTTTCATCCCTAATGTTTCCATCCTCACCATCACCGTCATCCTCCTGCCGCCTCAATGCAGGTTGCAATGTTCTCCTCCCAGTTACTAAATGCCTAATCGATGCATCACTCACCCGCCTACACCAACTCAAATCTATCGCTTTCAACGATAATGTTCTCAGCCTCGATGCTCCATTGTCAGTTATCTTTCCACATCCACGTAGAGATAAATGCTCCAACCGCTCACAAACACTCGATATAACATGCACGGTAGCATCGGTAATATGAAGACAATTGGTTAAATCCAAGTCACGGAGATGCTCGCTGCATGCGGCCACAAGGTGAATGACCGAGTTATCAGTCACATAAGTGCAGTCGCGGAGAGAGATCGAGGTTAGAAATGGGAGACGCTCAGCCAGTACGTGAATATGATTGTCGTTGATATATTTGGTCAATGGGCAGTCAAAGTAAGGTTGCGTATCTGTTACTTTGGGACGAAAAGATAATCGACGGACTAAAAATCGATTGTCTGGACTTGGTTTATCATTATAGTCGAGTATTGATTGCCATGCATTCTCCGAACCGTCGCGTAATTTAACTATATTCCCGCGAGACGTTGTATTGCCCAGTACGTAAATAAAGCGAATTAGGGAATTGGTCGAATAGAATTCGGGTTCGGTCCATAAAATATAGTTGGCCACGGCGTTCCCTGTACAAATGGCAAGAAGAATAATGTGATTAAGATAAATACATCAAATTAATGGCAAACACTTGCAGAGCATGCAAAGTACGTATCACTTTCTCCTAGCACACTATACAAGAACGTAAGTAATAGTTACAGTCTTTGGCACTCTTCTACTAAACTTACAGAATTTACAAACTAGTGAGCACGATAAAACATCTCTTCGTGCGTCATGTCTCTTTCTCGCCGTCAGAACAGGAATCACACTCCGTTCCTTCTTTACGTTAGGAGGATATACGTGCGCAAATATCTGAAATAGAATCTCTATTGGAAGATCCATCCTCTGGAGTATTAGAAGAGAATAGTCAACAAGGGGCGATCACAATAGCAGTAAAATCAGTAAAGAATTTATCCTCACTTGTGTTGCGTATCACGAACCAGCCGAATACATTAAAAAAACATTGCGGATCTTATTGTACTTGATGGATGTTCCGACTTCTAATTCATCTTTCACAGACTTACCAAATACATCCAATATTCAAGAAGCTACTACCTCAAAATCCCATGCAAACAAACCAAAGAAAGATGGGCGGCGTGATAAGAAAGACATTGAAAAGATCCGGCTAGAGAAGCAGAGAAGGAGAGAGGAGCAGAGACTATTGCAACAGAGACAGCGGCAAGAGGAAGAGAAGAGAAAGGAGAATGGTATAAAACCCGTTTTGAGGCCCATGGTCAATGTTGTAGAGGAATTGACGGATATTAAAGGGGAAAGAGTCAAGATTATGACTTATAATGTAGGTGCAAATAAAACGGTTCAATTCGAGACTCATTTATCCCTTCTGTAAGGACAATTGGTATTTGGTCTTACTAATTACCCAAATTCATACTATAATAGATGCTAGCTCAATCCCTTTGCCGTCGGGAACTCTTTCCTCAATGCGGCGACGCACTGAAATGGAAAAATCGTCGTCCGGGTCTATTGAAAGAAATACTTTATTATTCGCCTGATATCGGATGCTTTCAAGAGATGGATGAGAATACGTACGTTGACACTTTTAAACCAGAATTTGAGAAAGCGGGGTATGGGTGTGTTTATGTCAAAAGCACAAAAAAAAGGCACGGTAATTAAGCTTTGTTGATTTTCTAAAGAATGGCGTTAACGTAATAGTTTCATTACATATACATTTTGCATTGACTTTTGTCATTTAGGCTGTTGTATCATTTGGAGAATAAGCAAATTTACGAAGGTCAAAGAAGATTTAATTTTATATGACCAAATTGAAGTGCCAACAATGCCCACTGAATGTGTGGGACTCATTGTGGCATTTGAATTCAAATCGTCTAATAAAGCAACTGTAGATGGTATTGTCATAGGGACAACACATCTATATTGGAGACCACAAAGTATGTATGAACGGTCAAGACAATGTCTAATACTTGTTGACAGACTCGATTACATAAACAAGGAATTCAAGTTTCATGCATTTCTGGCTGGAGGTTTGTTGCCCAAGTTCAAATGTTTACCATAGTTTGTACTTGGCTTGTACTTAAATAATATTCAATATGTAGACTTTAATTCAGCTCCAGGAGATCCAAGTTATGCACTCTTAACAGGAGGCTCGCTAAACCAAGATCATATAGATATTCTTCAAAACTCAATGAAACCATTTGGTAGCAATAAGGATGAGGATCCTCCTCCCGATTCAACCTCACTCATATCATCATCCAATGCATCTCACACGGAACTGAAATCAGTATCAACAATAATATCTGCATTTAAGACTCTTCCTAAATGTGTCTCGCTCTATGCTCAACACTATATAAGCATTGATCCAGCAAATACTGACAGATTAGAACCCAAGTTTACAAATTATGGGGAGTATTACAAAGGCACTCTGGACTATATTTTTTATTCAGGAAAAAGCAACAATAGAGATAACATAGAAAGGGAAACAAGTGAGGAAATGCAAGTAGTAAAATTGTTGAAAATGCCAAGAGAAATGGATATACTGCCCTCAATACCCAATTACAAATTTAATTCGGATCACTTGTGTTTAATAGCTGAAGTGTCAATCAATTGAGGAGTATTGAATGTATTAGACGTTGAGCATATAAGTTTTAGAGAAAAGTTCATATCAAACCTATTTTCCTGAATATGAATAAATAATTATAATATTTTGGTACATTGTTGCGGAATTATTTTAATGAATATTAAATATAAATAATAATAATAATAATAAAGAAAGATAAATTGGTAATTTAGCTCTAAACGTGGTCTTGCTTCACGCTCGCGTCAATTAAGCGTAGCCGTTATAACTAAATAATCGGTAAAAAACATTGCACCGATAATCGAACTACGTGTATTCCTGTCTTTGTCTGATGCACCAGCGTCCGCTTAACTATAGCTAGATATTAATCTAACTTCCGTAAACTGGACTATCCGGCTTAATTTAGCTTTCTAAGCAATAGACACGGCGCACAGGAATAGAACTATTATTAGAACAACTAATAATAATCCTTAGTCGGAGAGTGTATTAATTATAAATTTCGACGTGTCTAATTAAGGTATTTCTGGCATGTATACCCGTGCACGGCAATTTTTTGAACGCCAAATTTTGATTTATACCCGGGTATAAGCTATGGGCACCTGTGACTTCTAACTTGCCAATAAAAACTGCGAATTAAAATTTAACGCTATAAGATGCACAACTTTTATGACAGAAATTCCCAAATATTATCATCTCCGACTTCTTCGTACTCTTCACCGTCAATATTATTGAAACTTATTACTCCAGCGGGAGACATAAAAAAGTTGCCTGTAATCACAATCGAATTTTAATGTTAATTCGAAGTTCTTGCTTACTATACAGTATTTATCTAATGCGTTAATCTGGAATCACATTTATCGGCAGCCAATAGAATTTTAGAAAAACAAATCAAGACTCTTACATGAGTACTAAAATGAACAATGGTATATTTACATAACTCCCCTCGCTGTAATCTGCTGTTGGGTCTGTATGGATTTTATTAATAATAATGATATTAATACTAAAATGATAAAACTCAGAGTCAGCATATTTAGAAATAATAATAGAAACAGTTCCACAACCCTGCACTGACAGGTGAAACATCTACCAACCAATATTTCTGCAGACGTCTTACCAACGCCCTTACACACAATCCTTGTCCGTTAAGTCAATGACGCCTGATGCAGCAGGCAACATAGGGCTGAGCTTTGGTTCTAATGTGGAGAAGACGGCGACAATTGCGATTAATGCCTTTCTGTCATCTCCCGACGGCGCATTGTTTATAGAGCTTTTCTACAATCTTAATAATTTAAAACAATATTAGAAACATATTCTTAATATAAGAATCGATCAACTGCATATATAAATAATATTCTGCATTCAGTCAATCTTTCGTCTCATTTTTCGAATACTAAGCCAGTACTTAGAACTTGGGCACCTAGAACCAACGCCCAATACGGCCAAATGCACTAATCCGTATAGAGCTGACAAGCATTCCCATAGAATGACCCATCGCAGACATAGTAATAGGCCTATGCCATAATTACCACCGTTTGACAATACCACACTAACATTCATCGTAATTAATAAAGCATCTACTTACCTTCCGTCACAAATCTCAAATCAAGCAAACGCAGGGTATGGTTTGATTTTATGAAAGGGACATATTGCTTGTCCAATTTTTTCAAAGCCAGCGCAACTTTGCGGCCGATTTCTTCAACTGGTTATTACGACGATGGCCTCGTTTAACGATACGTCGTAAGCTTGCCTAACTTCTGCCAGTGCTGAATCAACTGGTTGGTTTATATTTTCTTTGACAGGCAAGTATATAATACTCAGCCAATTGTCAAACTTCAGCTCAGCGCTGTCTTTTGTTCTGTTTAAGATTGATGTAGCCAGTAGTCCTTTGGCCCGTTTCTGTTAATGGCGTTCCACTTGTCAATTGCCATGTTTGCTTCCATTCCTTCCAATTCCCAACCGTGAGGGTCTCGTTCGATGTGTTCTCTGACTCGTTCACTATCAAAGATTGCCACGGGGTATCCGTCTTCTTTCCTTCGGACAATAAAATGTCGTTGTCCGTCCAGGTACTGAAAGTTTCTTGGCGGGTAGTCATTTGGGATTGATTCGATGAGTTCCTGAGTCTTCCATTGTACCTAGTGATTTCGTATCTAAAGTCTGGAATAGGTTAGGTTTAGATGTTGTTATCCACAAGATAGTTGTTCACTGTGAAGTGTATCTCGATTGAAGATGAGTCGAGTGGAGGCACCGAATTATTCTGTTTATAATGAAGAAATTATGTTGAAGTTTTTAATTGATGTAGGTTGTCATTGGCTGTCTCCAAGAAATGGGGTAAACCTAACATTCGCAGTGCTTATTATTATTACACAAATACTTTAACTGTGGCGTGACCAATTATGACCCCTGAACGTTTATGTGGCGTTATATGATATATTAATATGGCTATTTTCCATGAGCATTCAAGAACTTTTTCGAAGGTTCTGGATAAGTTGTCACGAGACATGTTATCCACAAATCTTCGCTCAATATAAGATGGGGTGATGCTTATGTACAACAGAGACATTTACCAATGCAAGACCCAGCAGAGCATACCGACGATAATTCAAGAAAGGAGGAGGCTATAAAGGCTAAATCCCTCGGTGATGAAGCCTACAAGAAACGAAAGTTTGATGAAGCATTGCAGCATTACGACAAAGCCTGGGAGTTGGACTCAACAAACGTGACGATACTTACTAACAAAGCTGGTAAATATAAGATATCTGAAAATGAAGCGGATCAAGTATGTTAGTATCGTGCTGACGATCAGATTTATGATCATCTGCACAGCCGTCTTATTAGAGCAAAATAAATGTGAAGAATGCATTAAAGTGTGCGATGAAGCAATTGAAGTTGGACGTGAACACCGAGCTGACTTCAAATTGATAGCCCGGTAGGTTATTTACTATCATATTGATAATTATTTTGCCTCAACTCGATTACCAAGTTTCTGACCTTTACAATCACCAGCGCGTACGCTCGAAAAGGGAATGCGTATATAAAATTAAAGAATCATGAAGAGGCAATCAAAAACTACAACAAGTCTCTCACCGAACATCGTACTCCCGACGTTCTTAAAAAGCTGCAAGAAGTTAGTAAACCATGCTGTTTATTTACTTGATAGTAGAAAGAGATGAAACATCTGAACTACCGCGACGTTACAGTGACTGATGGATGTGTTTCCCCATCCAACACAGGCGCAGAAAGAAAAAGCGGCTCTTGAGAAAGAAGCTTACTACAATCCGGAGCTCGCCGACAAGGCGCGTGAAGAGGGAAATGAGCTGTTCAAGAAGAACGATTTTGTTAATGCAGTGCAAAAGTATACCGAAGCCATAAAGCGTAATGACAAAGATCCACGGGCATACAGTAATCGTGCCGCATGCTACACTAAACTCATGGCTTTGCAAGAGGCTCTGAAAGATTGCGAAACTTGCATACAGGTAGATCCTACGTTTGGTAAGCTTTTGAAATACAATTTCATAACGATTCTTTTTTACTATTGAATCTTCATACAAAACGAGTTAACATTTTCGTCAAACAACAGTCAAGGCCTATATACGTAAGGCCGTTGTAGAATTTGCAATGAAGGATTATACAAAATGTTTATCTACCTGTGAAGAAGCTCTGAAACAAGATAAAGACGGAAAGCACGCGAATGAAATAAACCAGCAGATCGCAAAATGTTACAATGCTAGAGGTCAAGATGAGAACGTGGCTGAAAGGATACAAAGAGCAGCTCAAGATCCCGAAATACAAGTGCGTTTCATGAAAGTGTTTATTTTTTATTTTACAGTGAAACCTCTTTATACTGGCCGGCCAGTATAAGGAAAACCGGTATATAGAGTAGTAGTACCCACATGGTCATAATTAAAGAACCGTTCCTGAAAATTAGGGCCGTTATAACAGAAACCGGTATAAAGAGGTTTCACCGTACTTCATTTCTAAAGTTTCTATCTAAACTCTTTGTTTGTTACAGAAAATTCTTCAAGATCCTGCCATGTCTTCAATTCTACAGCAGATGCAAGACGATCCACAAGCAGCCCGAGAGTACGTATGATTCCTTTTCTCACTTACTGTTGAATACCATGTACTTACTTTTATTTTCGAAATAGTCACATGAAGAATCCCATGGTAGCGGCCAATATTCGTAAACTCATAAATGCAGGTATTCTGAAAGTTGCCTAACGAGGTCTTCAACACGTGAACCAAGCGAAATATTGAGAACATTAGGCTATTGTAAAAATATCTTGTGAGGAATAGTTACTTACGGATGATGGACTATTCCGCCATTCTGAACAATTCAGTGTTGACTTAGTTTACGTGTGATATTTAGCATTTTCACTATATTTTTTCTGCAATCTGTAACTAACTGATCTAATAAATACAATCGAAATTGTAACTGAAACAGACTTCCATTCCTACTATTAAAAAAATTTTATTTTTTTTTTCGTTTTTTGTTTTACTGAAGCTGTTAGGAGCAAAATGATGATAGTAAGAAGGAAATAAACTGTATGCTTACTTGATTGAATTCATTGTCAGCCTATTCGGGACGACAATGTCATATCTCATTTACAGTCTTAAATTGTATCAAGCTTCCCTTCCAATAATTGCCTCACATCGTTTACAAAGCTTCCCCTCATCCGCATTATATACCCAACACCTTGGACATTTGTGCTTGGTTGCTCTTTTGACTACAATCTTTGAATCGCTTCCACCACCCAAACTTTCAATATCTAGCATAAAATGATACTTTTTATCAACAGTTCGGTCTGTGATGATGCTCGCGTTAGATGTGATGAGTATGAGATCTAGGTCTTTTTCTGTTCGAAGGAAAGTTAACTTAGTCATCAGGAACACAGCAAATATAACGCTCTACAAAAAGAGGATGCCGGTACCATATTTTTGAAGAAGAGTGTGGAGGCTTGAGGCATCAGAGATGTAGATGTCGACTGCTGCTTCTAATGAACTTCCTATTAATCTGATGTTAAATAAATGTGTATCTGCATTAAGTTACTGTGACATGAATGAATTATTCCAAACATTGTCAAATAATGCTCACTTGCTCTTCCTTGCTTTTTCAAACAAATTATTTACTTCACTCCTGAACTCTTTTAAGATGTCCCATTCACTTCGCAATTGTGGATTATCCCATTGTGGATTCTATTCGCAGAACGTCGGATTAGTCACCGGGAGTACTATAGGTTTACAAGTTAATATCAGAGGCCTATTACCAAATCCATCCACCCAAGCTTGAACACTGAGCTGTGTTCTACTGGACCAACACGTTTAAAATGTGAGTAGATCTCTTCAACTAGGTGGGGAGCGATCGGTGCCAGTGACAGCATATATATAGTAAGTATCTAAATAGAACTCAAGCAGTTAGAAAGTATTCATGTTATGAGGTCTAAAAGCAAGAAGATTACTGTAACTTACATGATAGAACGCGGTTTGTACACTGAGTCTACGCAGGCTCTGTGCAGAATCTGCGTATAAAGTATCCTTTACAACATCAAAGTAGAATGCAGAAAGTGAAGAATATGTGAAATTATTTAATGCTTGCATAACTAATCAAAGAGACAAGATTGTTATTATATTTTGTCATCTCGAATAATAACGCTTAACATTCCAAATAGATACCTTTAATAAATGCAAAGTCATTATATGCATTCGTCACAGTTTTACCAAAATGGTATAATTCATGAAGCATGTATTTGTCCACCTGCAAATCAAAACCCAACAATATCAAGGAGATTAAATTATGTATTGAATTTTGGTTTGCGTCCTTGCATAACGTACACACCGGCTTCAGTTGATTGTAATCTAGTAGCATTTCGTAGTCAAAAGTATTCATATTTCCAAGTAAGAATCTAGCTGTATTCCTGTACTTCTTCAAGTAATCCGCTATCTGCCCTGTACAAAACGCAGTTGAATAGTACTCAATCCGCTGGTTTGACATAACGTAATAGATTATCTCGACTTACCTAATATCTTTGACCCTATAGTAACGTCTGATGTATACTCTGAAGATGCAACCCAAAGTCGGAGGGCGTCAGCACCATTGGCTTTGTTGCTCTAGTAAAATGTTACGTACAATGTACATTAAACGAATACTTATAGAATATTGGTTTCATACACACATACCTTCCCACCATGAGTAACTGTAACAGGACTAACAACATTTCCAACAGATTTTGACATTTTACGACCCTTCTCATCAAGTACAAAGCCATGGGTAACTAGCATCGAGTAAGGTGACTTCGATAACACAGCGACTGGATCCAAACAATAATAAAATTTAGATACACAAAATTAAATTCAACAAGCAAAACGGTAGATTCAGGACTTACCTGAAGTTAGCAGCGATGACTGAAACCAACCACGATGTTGGTCGCTGCCCTCGAGATATAGATCAGCTACAGAGCGATGGCTTTCCCTTTAACCAACATTGTTTGTTATCTTTGATTGTCAATGGATGTTCCAACATTTGGTTTGGCAGAAGAACATACCGTTTTAACTTCTCATCAATTAAAGTCCAACTAATTCCGCTATCAAACCATACATCCATAATATCCATTCCTTTGCGATAGCCGCAACCTTCAATTTAATCCCGATGAGCAGACACTTCAGTAGGATATATATATTCCATTATGCAATTGCAATAGTGACCTTACCATTATTTCTATATTCGGGAGCAATCAGCTCATTCTCATCCATGGTCCACCATGCGTCTGACCCATATTCTTTTATAATTTCAGTGATATGCTGTACTGATTCATTTGTCAATAATGGATCTCCTGTTTCCTTATTGTATAGAACAGGTATTGGAACTCCCCAAGCTCGTTGTCGAGATATACACCATTCGTTACGTGACAGTATAAACGATTCCAACCGATGTCTTGCTTTACTTAGAGTCAATGGCATTTAGGTTGACGTTGCAGCACAATATGCGTATTTTATATTAACTATATGCAAGATTAACTCGTACCAGTCTCGGGCAACATCTTCACGTTCTTTAATGCTTCAACAGCCTTTTGTTTGATTTCCTCAACGTTAGCAAAC